CAATGGAATGCCTGCAATGGCACTGGCTCCCAGGCTTCAGAAGACTTTGCTGGAGGCAGATACTTCTTTGTCCGCAGCTCCTGATGGCCCAGACACACATTTCTTCACAGCCCACAGCAGGGCTGGATGGGTTCAGTGGACAGTGTGTACTTGAACATTCAGCCTGGGGCATTTTTCTACATCTCACCTTGTGGAGTCCCATTTCCTGGCCTAAGATCAGTTTGGCAACCATAGCACTTGAATCGACATCCCTCATAATTGCTCAGTTGGCCTCCTCCTGCTTATCCTCTGGCAGTGCCAACCTTCTCTTGGCTTTTATCAAAACCTGGCCATGTTTTCATACTTGTTGTTACTCTTGACAAAATACAACCATGGGGGGAAAATCACTTTTCCCTGCAAGATAGCACACAGTGACTCTTTAAAAGAGGATCTCAGGGAATTTGGCATGTTAGGTCCAATTATTTGCGTTGAAGTAGGGTCAAGGTAGGGGATTTATATATTTTTTTAAATTTATTTATTTTTTAATGTTTTTTTAAATATACATTTATTTATTTTTAGTTTTCAACATTCACTTCCACAAGTTTTTGAGTTCCAAATTTTTGCCCCATCTCACCCCTCCCTCCACCCCAAGATGGCATGCATTCTGAATATCCCTTCTCCTAGTCTGTCTTCTCTTCTATCTCTCCCCCCTCCCTTCTCTTATCCCCTTCCCCTTCTATTTTCCTGTAGGGCAGGATAGACTTCTATACCCCATCTGCTGTATTTCTTATTTCCCAGTAGCATGTGAAAACATTGGTTTTTTAAACATATGTTTTTAAAACTTTAGGTTTCAAATTTTCTCTCTTCCTCCCTCCCCATCCACCCTCATTGAAAAGGCAAACAACTCAATATAGGTTGTACATGTGCAGTTATGCAAAAGACTTCCATAGTAGACATGTTGTGAAAAACTAACTCTGTTTCCCTTAATCCTATCCTGCCCTCACATTTATTCTATTCTTTCTTTTGACCCTGTCCCTCCTCAGAAGTATTTCCTTCTGATTACTCCCTTTCCCAATCTGCCCTCCTCTTTATCATCCCCTTGCTCTCTTGTCCCCTTCTCCCCCTATTTTCCTGTAGGGTAAGACAGAGTTCCATACCCAATTGAATGTGTATGTTATTCCCTCCTTAAGCCAAATCCTATGAGAATAAGATTCACTCATTCCCTCTCACCTTCCCCTGCTTCCCCTCCACCGTAAGAGACTTTTCTGGGTTTTCTTTTGTGAGATAATTTACCCCATTCTACCTCTCCCTTTCTTCTTCTCTGAGTATCATCCTCTCTCATCCCTTAATTTTATTCTCCAGCTATGACCCCTTAATCTTCAACTCATTCTGTGCCCTCTATCTATCTTTATATATGTACATACATATAATTTTTTTCCTTCAACTACCCTAATACTGACAAAGGTCTCATGAGTTATAAATATCATCTTTCCATGTAGGGGATTTATATTAGTAAATGAAGGTGTGACATGAGAGACCCCTCAGATCCTGCATTTTCTTATTTTTTTCTTTTCTACCATCTGCATCTACATAATCCCAGAATGTCAGAAGTTAGAGTTAATTTGGCACCATCTTACACAGAAGGTAACTGCAGCCCTGATTTACCCAGAATCATTAAGCAACAACAGTAAGTGCCAGAGACTGGATTCAGACCCAGACCCCCCCACCCCTAAGTCCAGTGCTCTTTAATAAGACATGCCCCCCAGGTTCCAGAGTCAGAATTCCCAGACAGCAAGATTCATTGATGCAGATGGGTTGTACTGTCATGATTGAAATAAAGGTAGAGTGAAGCAGCAAAATTCTAAGTTTGATCAACTTATTAGCAAAGCTTATACTTGCCAATAAATGGGGCCTAAGGCTCCTCAGTAACCAAGGAACCATCTGACAGTCCAGAGAGATCTTTTACAGTCATACAGAGGAATCCAAAAGTAGACAGTGACATCAAATAGATAGTAACAAAGTTACTATTTCACTTCTGGGTGATCAGTGCCATGGTTATTAACCACAAGTTATACCAGGTTATCATAAGGTAGACTAACATCCTCTCTAAACTCCAGTGGTTGGAAATTTTTAATACTATTTTATTTTTTCCCAATTACCCATAAAAATAATTGTTATAGGTTATATATGTACAATCATGTAAAACATATTTCAATATTAGTCATGTGAAAAAAGAAACAGATCATGAGAAATTGATGAATGGTCAAAGAGATGAACAGGCAATATTCAGAGAAAGAAATCAAAACTATAAATAGTCATATAAAAATTCTCTAAATCACTAATAATTAGAGAAATGCAAATTACAGTCCTTAGGTAGCACCTCATGCTCATCAGATTGACTAAGATAAGAAAAATTAAAAATGCTGGAGAGGATGTGGAAAAATAAGTACATTAATGCAGTCTTGGTGGAGCTGTCAACTAACTAGTTAATCATTCTGGAAAGCAATTTGGAACTATGCTCAAATAGCTATTTAACTGTGCATACCCTTTAACCTAGCAATACCACTAGGAGGTCTATATCCTAAAAGATCAAAGAAAAATGAAAATGACCCCTATGTAGAAAAATATTTATAGCAGTTCTTTTTGTGGTGGCAAAGAATTGGAAACTGAAGGCATGCCCATCAATTGGGGAATGGCTGAACAAATTACAGTATGTGAATGTAATGGAATACCATTGTGCTATTTTTAAAAAGAATGATGAAGGGAATGGTTTCAGAAAGAAATGGAGAGACTTATATGAACTGATATAGAGTGAAGTAAGCAGAACCGGAAGAACAGTTTGCACAGTCACAGCGATATTGAAAAGATAATCAACATAAAAAGACTAGTAACTCTGATCAACACAATGACCCTCTATAATTCCAAAGAATTCATGATGAAAAATGCTGTCCACCTCCAGATAGCAGACTAATGAATTCAGAATACAGATTGAAAACAAAATTTTTCTCTTTCTTTTTTTTTCAGCATATAGCTAATATGGAAATGTTTTTTGCATAACTTCATATTTGTAATGGGTTTTGCATTTCTTGCCTTCACAATAGGTGGAGACAGCATTTGGGGGAGGGAGAGAATCTCAAACAGATAATAAAATGTAACTTAATTTAAAATAATAATAATAGCACCTCCTTCCTAGGGTTGTTGTGAGGATAAAGTGAAATATTTATTAAATGCTTTGTAAACCTTAAAGTATAATATAAATACTAGCTATCATTACTATCATTGTCATTTGTTTTATTCCTCTTTTCTTCGGTGCCTTGTAAGTAAATTCTTATCCTTTAACTGGGGTTGCATCCAACCTTACAAAGATGGTAGAACCAGCTCCCATTCATGGGTTCTGCCCCATAATGATGAAGTGAGCCAGTGATTGGTTGGGATCAGCACCCAACAGAATGGGGTACAAAGTCTGCACTAATTCAATTCAGCAATTTAACAAAGCACCTACTATGTGCTAGTGCTAAGTGCTAGGGAGACACACAAAAATGGAACAATCTCTACCTTTACAAGAGGGGGAGGTTTTCTTCCATTGTACTGGGAGGGGAGGGTACAACATGTAGACAAATATAGTTCACGGAAAACAAAAGGGATAACATACTAAGAGGTTGGGAAGGGGGTCAGGAAAGGTGTCAATCAAAGCATTTATAAAGTGCTTATTATGTGCCAGGCACTGTGCTAAGGGCTAGATATGAAAAGGCAAAAAGATAGTCCCTACTCTCAAGAGTTCACAATCTAATGCGGGAGACAATATGCAAATTATATACAGCATAAATTGGAGATAATCACCAGATAACACCAGCATTAAGGCAGGGAGGGTGAGATCAGGAAAAGCTTCTTGCAAAATATAGGACTTTAGCCGGGACTTGAAGGAAGCCAGGAAAATCAGGAAGCAGAGATGAGAAGGGAGAGAAATCCAGGAATGGGGAATTGCAAGTGAAAATGCCTGGAGTCAGGAAACAGTGAGTGAGGGACAAAAAGTAAGCCAGTATCACTGAATCTCAAAGGACATGGTGGGGATAAAAAGGAGTAAGAGGAGTGGAAAGGTAGGAAGGGGCCATGCTATGAAGGTCTTTAAAAGCCAAACAGAGGATTTTATAATTGAACCTGGAAGTGATAGAGACTCACTGGAGTTGACTGATTGGGGGTGAGGGGATAGGGAATCGGGGAATGACATGATCAGATTTGCACTTTAGAAAGATCAATTTGACAGCCGAGTGAATAGAGTGGACTTGAGGATGGGCTATTGCAATAGTCCAGGTGTGAACTGCTGAAGGTCTGGACCTTGGTTGGTAGCAGTGTCAGAGGACAAAAGGGGGTATATGTTAGAGACATTATGAAGGCAAAAATGAGAGGATTTGAGAACTGCTTGGATACAGAGGGTATCCCTACGAGAGGGTGCCCCTGAGTCAAGCATTGAAGTGAGACAAGGATAATGAGAAGCAGAGATGAGGAGAAAAGTTCATTCTCAGCATGGGAAACAACTTATGTGACTATAAGGACCATGATCGTGCTCTTTAGTCGTGGTTCTAACCTTGGAATCCCCTGCTCAAGTAGCTTCAATGGCTCCCTTTTGTTTCTTGGCATTTCTTATCATACGCATTTCTTCTCAAACCTCTATGCCTATACAATGGGCTGTCTCCTATGGCTGCTGTGTTATTCTTCCTCCCCTCCACCTCCTGGAATCCAGTGCTCAACTCACACCTCAGTTCAGGTTTCAATGGTCTGAAGTCTTTTTGATCTCCCAGTTTGTTAGTGTTCCCATCCCTAACCACCCACCCCACTTACCCCCCCCACACACATACCCCATAATTTACATTTTAGTTAATTTGTATATATTACATATCTACTTTTTTGCTAACTAGTTGCTAAGGTTAGTTGTTAGAATGCAATGTAACTTGAATATATTTAATAACCAAATGGTCTTTAAGTCTAAACTAAAAGAAAAAAATTAGAAAAAATATGACTTGTAATTAAAACAACTTACACCTGACTTTTTGGGGGGGAAAAGTTATTGATGCTGAAAAATGGGAGATGAGTGGAAGAAAGAACATCAGCTACATTTTCACAAATGTTATTATGTGTTACATTCTCCCAGCAAGCTCCTTGAGGCCAGATACTGCTTTTGTGTTTGTCTACTGAGTGCCCAGTGCTAAACACAGTACCTGACACATAGTAAGCATTTAGCAAATGTGGATGTGAGAGACCAATTGTCATGTTTAGACAGTAGCCAGCAGTCCAATTTAGTTGAAATAGAAAGAGTCTTCAAAAGACTGTATGAAATAAGGTTGGAAATACAGGGAGGAGCCAAATTGTAGATAATCTGACATTCCAGGCTGAGGATTTGTGTTTTGTTCTATAGGGAACCTATTCTACAGGGAGCTACTTCAGGTTTTTGATCAGGGAAGGAACACAGTCAGCTCTATGCCTTGCATTAGGTGCTGGATCTCTGTAGGTAATGGTGTCACTAGGAAAATAGTTGGATCTTAGGTTTAAGTGGTCCATGGTTCTTGAACTATGGACACAAGTGTGGGAGCCTCCTTTGCCTTTGTCTTGCGTAGTCCAGAGTCATCTCGGTCCGCATTTGATGCTTCTTGGGATCTGTGCTTTAGCAACTCTCTTCTCCACTGCATGCAGAAGGCTGCTGCCTCCAGTTCATCTGCATCTAGGAGAGGCTCCCTTAAGCCCTGGGGGTGAGACACACACAGAATTAGATTCTGCTTTTATGAGAAATGGCACCCAAAGTCTATGAAAGTTTGGACCTACCAGGTTACCTGGTTCACCATTCCAAATTGATGGCTCAATCATACTCTTTTGGTTTCCTTATTATGGCAATTGATGTACATCAATATAACATTTGTGAAAATGTAGTTGATGTCCTTTCCTCCATCCATCTCCCATTTTTCAGCATCAATAACTTTTTTTAAAAGGTCGGGGTTAAGTTGTTTTAATTACAAGTCATATCTTTTTCTAATTTTTATTTTTTCTTTTTGTTTAAATATAAAGACCATTCGATTATTAAATATATTCAAGTTACATTGCACTCTAACAACTAAACTTAGCAACTAGTTAGCAAAAATAATGTATTGAAATAAGAAGCTATCAGATAAACTCCATCCTCCTCCCAGCCACTGTACAAGTGAAATCCAACTCCCACATTAGGCAGCCACTTCCCCAATCATCCATGTCCTAGGATCTCCCTTCCTACTCTACTGAATTTGCACTAATTACTTATATTACTTTCACATCACAAATTATAGTGTTTTTTTGAGGGGACATTTCATCCTGCTTCTCGGAATATCAGAAGTGTTACTTATAGTTCTAACTAGCAAAGCCAGAAATCAAACCCAGAACCTCTGACTCCAACTCCTTTCCTAAGCAACACACTGCTTGTTTTGTTTTGTTTTTTAAATAAATGGGGTAATTAATTATTCAGATAAAAAAGCTTTTATTAAGTGTCTAACTATGTGCAACAAGATGCTATGCAACACAATATGGATACAAAGCCAAAAATTGAAAGTCTCTGACTTTAAGAGACTTAAACTCTGCTAGTGAATAGGTAAGGTGAGAGACAGACACATGTATGTAATTTCAAGGTTTGTTGAAAAGGAAGGAATCTGGGAAGGCATCCTAAGTATCATAGTTCACTTCCTTGAAGGCCTCCACCAATGGATGTCCGAGGGAACTCAGAGGATCTGAAACTCAACTTTATCCATCATATTCCAAGTTGACAGCTCCAGTGAAAGGTTCAATAGGAGATGAAATCAGCATAATTGGCTACAATGAAGTCTGGGAATGTTCAGTAGGTTTTAGTGAGCCATGCCACCCATGATCCATCCTCCCATGCCTCAGGTTATCCAAAGATCTGGGTGCATTTCGTGGGCTGGAGCCAGTGATGTGACTGTTGTCAAAAAAAAAAAAAAGCTCACTATTCATACTTACACGAAGACATGCTGCTTCTGCTGCCTTTAAAGTCTGCAAAACACCCTGGAGGAGGTTCTGGGCATTGTTCACAAGGAGCTCTTCAGAGGACTTGCTGCTTGCTAGAGCTGCTTTTACACTTGAGAAAAGAGAAAAATGCTGTGGCATATTTAAGTGATAAAATATTGTTCAGACCAAATAAAAGAGAAGACATGCTGCAATAAACAGTCTTTACCAAAGGTAAGAAAAATTTATTTCCTGGCTACTAGGAAGATATTACAGGAACCAAGCAGGAAAAGAAATTACAACTGATTTATTTTTCATGAGTTGGGAGATTTATAGCTGCATTTTTTTTTGGCATTGAGATTAGGTGAGGTACAGTAGAAAAGGGGCTGGATGTGGAGGTGGAAGACCTGAGTTCAACTCTAGCTCACTATGTGTGACCTTGGGCTTTTAAAGACTTCTTTAAAACCTCAGATACTTAGCTGTGTGACCCTGGGCAAGTCACTTAACCCCAGTTGCCTAGAAATAAACAGATAGATAGATAGATAGATAGATAGATAGACAGATAGATAGATAGATAGATAGACAGACAGATAGATAGATACCTCGGATACTTCCTAGTTGTGTGACCTTGACCAAGTTACTTAAACACCAGAATGTACTGAACTTTCCAAGTAATGTTAAGGACAAGGAAACTTTTTGGAGCTATTCTCCAATAGATAAATTGTCAAATGATAAATTAGTTTCAAAAGAAGAAATGCAATCCATAAGTAACCATATGATAAAATGTTCAAAATTACTCATAAAAGAGAAATACATATTAAAACAACTCTGAAGTTTCTACCTTATAACCATCAAATTGGAAAAGATGATAAAAGACAGAAATGGTCCATGATGGAAGGATTGTGGAAAAACAGGTGCAATGTCCATAGCACTGTGGGTTGATCCAAACAATTTGGAATTATTTGGAAAAAAGTTGTCAAACTGTTCACACTCTTTGACCAGATGATCCCACTACTCAGTGTATACCCCAAGGAAGCAGATTACAGAAAGAGCCAATGTATATAAAAATATGTGTAGCAATCTTTTTTTGTGGGGGGAAATAAAACTAGTAAGAAATGGGTGCCCATCAATTGTTTAGCAGCTAAAGAAATTGTGATATATGAACATAATGGATGTTCTTTTGTTATAAGAAATGATAATTATTAGGAATTCAGAGAAACAGCCAAACAAACAAACAAAAAAGCCAGAAGCAAGTGAACAATAGGAAGCAATTAAAATAGCAAAGTAAAATGAAAACAGTACTGGATTTGGGATCAGAAGACCTAGGTTCAGATTTCAGTTCTGCTACTTGTGTGCCCTTGGACAAATCATGTAAGTTCTTTGTGACTATTTCTTTATCCACAAAATGAAGGGGTTAATCTAGAGCCATTTTTTATGAGTATTTGGAAGGGTTTGGAGGAGAGCTCAAGCAAGTCACTGCTTTCACTCTGCCATCTTGGCTCTGCCCCATGAAGGGGTTAATCTAGATGACTTCTGAGATCCTTTCTGTTCTAAAGCTATGATCCTATATAATATAATCATATACATAAATTAAAATAACTCTTTTGTTGCTGTTGTTCAATTGTATGCAACTCTTCATGACCCTGTTTGAGGTTTTCTTGGCAAAGAACTGGAGTGGTTTGCCATTTCCTTTTCCAGCTCATTTTACAGATGAAGAAACTAAGACAAATAGGCTTAAATGCCTTGCCCAGGGTCACACAGCCAGTAAAAGGTTTTGTGGTAAGATTTGAACTTGGGAAGATGAGTCTTTCTGACTTCAGGTTCAGTGTCATAACCAGTGCACCACCTAGCTTTCCAAACCACCTAGCTCTGCTCTAAATGGTAGCTAAATTTGGATTTATGCATTAATCAGCCTTGGTCCCAAAAAACAATACCCACAGAGTGCTTATGGTGTTAATCAATAAGAATTTATTAATCACCTATCATGTGCCAGGCATTGATACAGTTGTTTCAATTTTGCCAAACTGTTTTCCTTCAGTACAAGGGAGAGTTTATGGAGGGTTATTAGTATATATGAAAATGACCATAGTGTAAAAGACAAAAAGCACTAATAAAGTATTTTTCAAAAACATACTTCAAAAGAGTGGGGTCATAATTCCCCAAGCGTTAGCTGATGATTAAAGGAGATTTTCTTAACTCCCCAAAGAGGATTGGGGTTTTTTTTTAAGGGGAGAGAGGTTAAGCTATATTGGCACAAGAAGAAAGTTATATTATCTCCAAGGCATCTTTTGGTTCTAAATCTTATAACCCTGTAATTCTAAGGCAGGGATTAAAACACTGCTTTGGACAGAGACTGACAATAATGAACAATGGAAAGAAGGCAGAACTACTTGATTCCAATTTTGCTTCTGTTCTCTCTATCAGGGAGAATGATCTTCAGGTTGAGACGGATAGAACACAAGTTGACAAGGTGGAATTAAAACCCGTTAAGTATGGTATTAAAAATTTAGATGCTCTCTGGGGTTCATACCACTTGGCCCAGACAAATTATATCATAGAATACTATAAGAACTTGTGGATGTGATAGGTGAACCACATCAATGATCTTTGCAGAATCATGGAAAACAGCAGTAGTTTCTTGGAACTGATTGATGCCTGGCAAACATTGTCTTAACTGGACTCATCTAATTATATGTCACTCAGTTTGACATCAAGTCCTGGAAAAAAAATTTTCTAACTGATTATTTATTTTTTGGCTTTTTTGGTGAGACAATTGGGGTTAAGGGACCTGCTCAAGGTCACATAGCTAGTAAGTGTCAAGTGTCTGAGGTCACATTTGAACTCAGGTCCTCTTGACTCCAAGCTCTATGCACTGCGTCATCTAGCTGCCCCTATAATTGTTTATTAAGGGTAAGATAGGTGAGCACTTAGAAAGGAAGATGATAATCACTATAAACCAGCATAAATTCATTGAGAACAATCCATGGAAGATTTATATCATTTCATTTTTTTGACAGTATGGTAGAGTGATAAGAGTATTGGACTAAGATTCTGAAGACATGAGTTAAGCACTCACTAGGAGTGTAATCTTGAGCAAAGCATTTTATCCTTCTAGGTCTTGATTTCCCTATCTATAAAAATGAGGATTTTAACACTAATAATGCCTGTGTCTCACAAGGTAACAACACTTTGTAAACCTTAAAACACTAAATACATGTGAATAGGTAATTCAGCCAAAAAGCTGGTAGAGCAGGGGTATTCAATACAATACTGAGCATGAAGTGCCTACTATGAGCCAGCCACTGTGCTAAGTACCATAGAGACAAAAACAATAACAACCTCTGCCTCAAGAAGCTTACATTTTACTGAGGAGAAACAATATGAGTACAGAAAAGTCAATACAAAATGTACACAGATTAGAAGAGTGGAATGTTGAGAAATTGGGGAGTGGAGAGGATAGAGTGAGGAGGGATCAGGAAAGAGTTCATGCAGAAAATAACACTTGAATTGGTCCTTGATGGAAATCCAAGAGGCTGAGCTGAGAACAGAAAGTGTTCCAGCACGGTGGCAGAAGATGGAATGTCATATAGGGAACTGGAATGTCATGTGTGGGGAACAGAAAGTTGGACAGTTCTCTATCCACTGTGCCATATTACCTCTCCAAGGTGAAATTTAAAGAAGATATGACTTGGCAGCTATCATATGTGTATGTCATAATATAACTGAAAGACTACTGGAGCTGGAGTCAGTCCTCCTTAGTACCTAACTTGACTAAGACCACTCATTTAACCTCACTAGGTATCAGTCTCTTCATGTGTTAAAATAAGGCAGTTGGGCTGCAGGATTCCAAAGGTCCTGTTCAGTTTTAGATCCTGTGATCCCATGAACTAGAATAGGCCTCAAGCTGAATGTATCAGCTCCCCCCTGCAAAAAAATCTACATGATTTATATTTTAATTCTCTAATATCAACGTGATCTAACTATATGCTAAGAGAAGCCCAGGATCCAGAATGAGGGGGATCATAAGAACATAGGCTTCTATTTTTGTCAGACTACATCTGGACTTTTGTGTCCAGTTTAACAATGCTCCACCGCAGAAAGGACATTGACGAACTGAGGTATGTTTAAAAGAGGAAAGCTAGGATGATGTAGGAACATGGAACTATGTCACAGATGTAAAGAGAAAAGATTTTTCAAGTGGGGAGAGGGTGGTGGAAATCATGACCTTCAAACATTCAAAGGGTTGTTTTTGTATTTAAAGATTAGACACATTCTGCTGTGGCCTCAGAGGGAGAAAGAAGCATGTGTAGAAATTACAAGGAGACCTAATTTTGGCTCAGCATAAGGAAAGACTTCCTAAAAATTAGAGCAATCCAAAAACAGAATGAGATGCCTTGGGAGATGGTGAGTTCCTCATAATTTGTTGTTGTTCAGTCGTTTTCAGTTGCATACAACTCTTTGTGACCCCATTTGGGGACTTTCTTGGCAAAGATACTGGAATAGTTTGCCATTTCCTTCTCCAGCTCATTTTACAGATGAGGAAACTGAGGCAGACAGGGTTAAGTGACTTGTCCAGGGTCACACAGCTAGTCAGTGTCTGAGTCTGGATTTGAACTCAGGAAGATGAGTCTTCCTGATTCCAGGCCCACTGCTCTATCCACTGTGCCACCTGGCTGCTTCCTCATAATTAGAAGTCTTCAGACAAGAACTAGATCATCAATCACTTATTGAAGATGTCAAGGGTTAGGGAGGATTCATAGTCAGGTGAGGGGGGCAAGCTTTGGGTCAGATAGCTTTCAAAGTTTCTTCAGATTCTAAGATTTGAGGATTCTCTGCTAGTTTGGGTAAGTTGGTCCATACTGTAACACACCACACCACCCTTCCACACAATTACTTTAAAAGGACAGTAGTGACTTGGATGAAAAATATTTCCTAGTTAAGCCTATTTATAACATAAAGAAAAACTTCCTTTGGAATGATTTCTATATTTAAATCTAGAAAGATCATGTTTATTTTAGGATTTTTTAAAGAACCTCATTTAGAATAATAATAATAATTAATAATGGCATCTATATAGGGCCTACTTTTAGGTGTTAGGTAGTACTCTGCTAAGCACTTTGCAAATATCATCTCACTTGATCCTCACAAGTCTGGGAAGCAGGTGCTATTATTATCTCTATTTTACAGGTGAGGAAACTGAGGTAAACACAGGTTAAGTAACTTGCCCAGGTCACACAGCTAGTTAGTGTTTGAGTTTGGGTTGGAATTCAGGTCTTCCTGACTTCAGGCAGGTGCTCTGTTCTTGGTTCTACCTTGCTGCCAGCGTGCATTTTCATGTACACAATGTAAATGTTTAGTACTGCAACTCCCCATCCCATCCCATCCCCCACCAGCGTTAATTTATCATGCAAGGAAAGCATAAGAAAAATAATTGTTAAAAAAAAAAAAACTAATCTAAAGCTTTTCAGATTGTCTACTGCTCTCTACTACCATCTGCTGGCCTCTGTGTGCTAAGCAGGTGGAGAACAGAGCTCTTTTATTAATAAACATATACTATTGCCTAGAGCTATCACCGCTTGCCTGACAGAAACCCTCAGGCTTAGATTGTCTTTCTTTTCAATACTTTTTTTTCTCCTGCTGGTGCTTAGAGCCCATTTAAACTGTTAACTGTTATAATACAAATAGAACTTTAACTTCTATCATATCCCTTGATCTCCTCTCTGAGTGCCCTTCAAATTCTCAGGGAAATCCATTTAGCAAAACTTCAAGGGATCTTGGTGGAGTTGGGGTAAAGAGAATCCTTTCAACCTCCCCCTTCAGAAGGCCCTTTGTTAACATAAAATCAATTTAGGAGCAAGACTGAAAAGACAGAAGTGGATCAGGCGAGCTTTGTCCTACTTTCTACCAGCAACAAAAGTCACGGTGTTCCCTACCAGCATATTGTTGAACATTTTGCCAACATATTACTAGCCTGTTGAATGAATGAATAAGTGAATGTGTAAGGGTGGGATGTACCCCACTTAAAGTAAGTTACAAACTGTTCAATCAACCTCATGCTTCCATGTTATACATGAAAACTCTGGTTTGCCAAATCCTGAGAAAAGACAAGTGGAAGAGCTGATATATTTATATATTTTGGTCCAATATATTTACAATTCTGGTGAAAGCTTTAAATGGTGGGGTTGGGATTTTGTGGTTGTTGTTTTTAATCTCGCACTACATTGAGTAAGACAAAATATGAACCAAGTGTTTCCTTTGAATATGGCAGTAAACAAGGCCAAGATAATTCATGATTGTCAAATGAAATGAAATAACACATTAAAACAACCCAGGGAAGAAAAGAACAAGGAGTCAGGCATCTTTTTAAAGCACTTTTTCCAGTGGAAAGAAGCTTGAGAAAATAATAGCACACTTCAGTTTTTCACAACTGCTCTTTACCTGGAAATGATGTTAAGCTGGCTACTAATTGTCTGAATTTGCTCCAACACACGCAAGAGTTCATCTGCACATCTCTGATCCAGGCAGTTCTTAGCAACAAGACGGATGAATTTAACAAATATGTGTCCAGAAGTGGCTGTTTTCTTTGCAGAGGCAATTAACTGGTCTTTGGTCTACATCAAAGAAAGTGAAGCTGTTACAATGAGCAGACCCAGGTAAAACAGATATCCACCACAGGTGTTTTCTACAAGCCAGGCTGGCCAGTCTTGAAGCCTTTCAAAAGCCTCTTTTGCTAGACTTTCCTCAACTGCAGAATTACAAGGGAAATTCTGCTTTGTCCTTCAACACAGGCTTTCCTGAGGAGAGTCTCCCCTAAAGCAGTAGCCTCAGAAGGCCTAAGGAACAACCTTCTGGCTGGCATTCAAGGCCTATGGTTAAAAAGAAAGCCACCCTTCCAAAAATCAACTGGGAGAGGGACACAAGGCTGCTGTTTTCCCCTGAAGAAACTATACTGAGACATACTAAGACTTTATCTTTATGATCTTGTATTTACTTTTTCAAAATTTTTCTTCTTTTTGGCAAGGCAATCAGGGTGAAGTAGCTTGCCCAGGGTCACACAGCCAGTAAGTGTCAAGTGTCTGAGGCCAGATTTGAACTCAGGTCTTCCTGAATCCAGGACCTGTTCTCTTTTTTGAAATTTCGAACCAATTCTAAATAAAGTTTGAGGACTTGTAGAAACTTAAACCCTTTCAAAAGCAATAGTCTTGTTCATTGTTCATCAGTATAATCCTCGGGTGTGTTTGGTGGAAGTAGACAGAGAAAAGGAGGGAATGTTTAGGGAAAGTCAAATTCTACTGCCTGGACATTAATAGGAAAACAAACATCATACCAAAACTCACAAACACACAATTGAAGATTGCAGACAACTACCTAGCCCGGTGAAATGGCTGAAGGCACAGCATTATTCTTATAAAGAGAGTGTGAAATCCAATATTTCATCTAGGGTTCGGAGGTGGTCAAGCTGCCCAGGGAACAAGATTAGATTTTCATCATATATCACCTGCCTCATGGCCATGCCTCCTTTATTCCTCTGTGAGACCACCACCAATGGTCAGGTAATCATCCTTAAATATATGTCCCAGATTGTTGGGACACTCTATATTACCAATTCTGTTTCATTGGCACTAATAACAGACAAGAGTAAGAAGAACAATTGAAATCCACAGAAGATCTGAACATTTAACGTGAGAAATTACTGTCTGCTCAGTAATAAGGATTATAGAGAAGGATAGTTCCTCAAGGGGATTCAAATCAACTGATCTGAAATTCATTTCCTTGGATGTGCTAACCAGAAGTAAAAGGGCCAAAATCAAGTAAAAAGAGATAAGGTCTTGACGAGGAGGCAGTGTGGTAGAATGAGGGAAGCCCTGAATTTGGAATCAGAGGACCTGAATTAAAATTCCAGCTCTTGCTCTCACTTCCTATGTGACCTTCGACAAGTGACTTAACCTCTGTCGTCAGTTTCTTCATCTTTAAAGTGAGCATGTTGGATAAGGTGACCTCTAAGGTCCTTCCAGCTGTAAACCTGAGTCTATGATTCTAAGTCAATAGAAAAAGACCCATTTCTCAATCCTCCAGTGGTTTTTTTATGCTTAAGACAAAAAAAAAGTAAGCACTCCTTCCAATGAGGCTTACTTGACCTATCCACCTCTAGGAGAAAATAATAGAAAGATCTCAGGAAACAACTTCTTCCTAATTTAATATATGAGAAAATTAATCTTCTTAAGTAGAGAAGACAGATTATTTATTAAGATAGGTTAAAACTAATCTATCTTATTTTTAGAAAAATTGACCTTATATTTTTCACTGGTTCAAATAGAAAGAGTCCTAGACCAAATTTCTATCCTATTATTATTCTTTTATATTTAATCTTCTGTAGGTACTGCACAGGTAGCTAAAATGACTGTTTTTAATAGCTGAATGAAATCATTAGAACATAAAGTCATCTTCTGTAAATTCACTGAAAGCATCTTTGGTACAATTCTAGTACTAGAAAGGATGATAGCTACTTCACCCTGTTCATTCCCTCGTGATTTTTATTTCTGCTATAGTAAGTCCCTGTATTTTGTTTTTTTTTTTCTCTGCATATAGTGTGAGATGTTGGTCTATACCTAATTTCTGCCATACTGTTTTCAAGTTTTCCCAGCAGTTTTTGTCAAATAATGTTTTTGTTCCAAAAGCTTGGATCTTTGGGTTTATCACGTGCTAGGTTACTATGGCCATTTACTATAATGTAATTTCTACCTAATCTATTTCACTGATCCACCACTCTATTTCTTACCTAGTACCAGGTTGTTTTGATAATTATTGCTTTATAATACAGTTTGAGCTCTAATATGGCTAGACCATCTTCCTTCACATTTTTTTCCCCATTACTTCTCTTGATATCCTTGACCTTTCATTCTTCCAGATAAATTTTGTTGCTATTATTTCTATCTATATAAAATAATTTTAGATAGTTTGATTGCTGTGGTATTGAATAAATAGATTTACTATATTGGCTCAGCCTACCCATGAGCAATTAATATTTTCCCATTGTTTATATCTGACTTTATTTATATGAAAAGTGTTTTGTAGTTCTGTTCATATAGTTCCTGATTTGTCTTGGCAAGTAAATTCCTAAGTATTTTATATTGTATACAGTTATTCTAAATGGAATTTCTCTATCTCTTGCTGCTGAACTTTGTTGGTAATATATAGAAATGCTGATGATTTATGTGGGTTTATTTTGTATCCTGCAACTTTGCTAAAGTTGTTAATAGTAGTAGTTTTTTAGTTGCTTCTCTAGGATTCTCTAAGTATAAATCATATCATCTGCAAAGAGTGATAGTTTTGTTTCCTCATTGCCTATTTTAATTCCTTTGATTTCTTTTTCTTCTCTTATTGCTATAGCTAACATTTCTACTGCAATATTTTTTATTAATTTATTTAGCTTTAGTCTTCAACATTCACTTCCATAAGATTTTGAGTTCCAAATTTTCTCCCCCTCTTTCCCCTACCCCTAACCTACGATGGCGTGCAATCTATTATAGGCTATTACGTATTTGTTACATTTTTCATATTAGCATATTTTCACGTTATTCATGTTGTAAAGAAAAATTAGAACCAACAGAGAGAGGAACCACAAGAAAGAAGAAACAAAAAGAGAAAGAGAGCAAACGAGAGTGAGCAAATAGTATGCTTCAATCAGCATTCAGACTCCATAGTTCTTTTTCTGGATGTGGACATTTTCCATCAGGAGTCTTTTAGAGATGTCTTAGATCCTTGCATTGCTAAGAAGAGGTAAGTCTATCAAAGCTAGTCATTGCTCTAGTGCAACACTGAATAATAGAGGTGATAGTGGGTATCCTTGCTTCACCCATAATTGTATTGGGAAGTCTTCTAGCTTATCCCCATTACAGATAATGTTTGCTGATGGCTTTAGATAAATATTACTTACCATTTTAAGGTAAGCTCCACTTATTCCTATGCTCTCTAGTGTTTTAAAAACTCCATTGATTCCTGTGTGCTCTCTAGTGTTTTTAATAGGAATGGGTGTTATATTTTGTCAAAGGCTTTTTCTGCATCTATTGAGATAATCATATGCTTCCTGTTGGTTTTATTATTGATATGGTCAGTTAGGCTTCTAGTTTTCCTAATCTTGAACCAGCCCTGCATTCCTGCTATAAATCCCACCTTGTTGTAGTATCCTTGTGATATATTGCTATAATCTCTTTGTTAGTATTTTATTTAAAACTTTTGCATCAATATTAAGTCTCTAAATTTTGGAAGTTTTTTTGTCCTACACATCTTAGAGATTATGAGCATGTAGTATGGAAACATCTTTCTAAAACATTGTTCTTGACTTTTTTACGGATCAAGATTATATCTCAGTGACTGTGAGCAACAGTCTATAATGGTCTGGTTCTAGTACAGTTTATTGGTTGAATTCTCAAGGATATTTTGAGGTCTGTATCTGTAGGAGGGAATTTTATTTATTAGTCCATAAAAGATAGGAGGCATCTTATTTATAATTCTAGTCACCAGATTATGTCTTGTTAAGTATTCAATAGGTGGCAAATTTTTGCAGGGATGTTATTCAGTTTCCACTGTTTCCTTGCACAATCTGCATTGATCATTACATCTACATGCCTTAAAGATATCCCTTCTGTAGTTCCTGGTGGCAATAACCTGGTCCTGAACTGCCATCATGAACCCCTCCATTTCTATAAATACATCTATATAACTCAACCATTTGTTCAATACTGTTTTGACAACGTATTACTGAATTCATTCAGATGTCACTCACTGAGGACCTTTTGATTCTACTCTTGAATCTTAGCCATTTTATAATCTTCATTCAGATGTAAATCACTTTTGGTTACAGTCCACAAACTTTGATTCTATATCATCCCTTTGTATTGCTTAGAAAAGTGATGTCTTATTCCTAAAGTATTTCTGTTTGTTTTTTACTTGCTAAACTTATGATCTAAGAATATCTGTTAATATTCTTCCTCCTTTTTGATAAGGCAGTGTTCATCTTCCTATGGCTGCTTTAGGGTATATTTCATTAATATCATATCAGTTTTTATTAGGATCCTTTCCAAATCTCTTATGGTCCATTCTTGTGGTGCTAAATATGTACATTAAGAATTGTATTGTATGTACATTAAGAATGGTACTATGTAGCTCTTAATTGATTTAAATGTATTCTTCCCATTAAGTTTTAATTCCAGAGTGCCAGTAAGTCTCTTAAAATATTCAGCCACAGCTCTTCCTTTGATAGCTTTCTACTCAATGTGCGGTGCCTGGAAGAAAACCAAAACATTTATAAGTATCACCTGCATTCATTGATTCAGTTTAACCTCTAGATTCAAGCTTAAAACCTTCAGTCTTAATTTTTCCTTTGTGTGTTTTAAGTTTTATACTTCTTGGGTCCAAATGACATTTGATATTATTGAAGAAAGATTCCACAAGATGAAAAAGCTGTTAAATGCATTTTTCTGTGGAGCCATATAGCTTGATATCATCCATATTTTAAGCAATTAATAACTAATTAAGTAATTACTTAAGTAATTAATAAGAGGTGTGGGTTTAAGCTCCCTTTTTAATTTGTAAGCCATATGTGGTTTGA